CTTTAAAAAAAAAAAAAAAAAAATTGCAGGTGCTCATTATTATCTCTATGGTCCACACAGATTAGTGGTGCATCAGTCAGTGTTGACTCTTCCATTAGCGCATTATCTCGGCATCCAGATTCCTGCAAATATTTTGCATGTTGGAAGACAATGTCTCTGCTGGGCATGTGTAACCGCAGCTCATTTTACTGATCAGAAGTTCTTTGACAACTCGGCGAACGCCCTTAGTCACCCCTGCCTGTTCCTGCCGGAGCAGAATATCATTTGTTTTTACCTGGGAGGGAAGTCCTGCCCTTAAAACATTTTGGATCGATGGCCTCCTGCGTCTTGCCTAGCCTGCATTCATGCCACTCTCTGCAGGGATTTCAATCATGCAAGCCCATTAACTTTCCCATTTAAAAAGGCAAACGCTGGAATCGGATAATTTAGCCATCTCATTGTTTGCCTAACCATAAAATCCTTGCAAGTCTCTGAAACGCATGGGAACCAAACTTCCGCCGAGATTCGGTGGGGACACAGCATACGTGAACAAAGCATCTGTGGTGCTCAATGGGCCTGTGAGCAGTGCTGCAATCCCACAGATAGGGGCTGCGTATTTCATGATGACTACGGTGGCAGTTCCTTTAGAAAGGGATTTAAATTTAGCTGTGCGTTTTATCCCCTGTCTAATGAGCTGTGCATAAATCCTAGGTATAATTAAATAGATTTTTCTTTTTTTTTTTCTTATTTTCCAGGGTGTAGAAGGCAATGTATAAAATACCACTTGTCTTTGGCTAGTGTTGCCCTTCTTTTCACCTGTGGGAATAGCGGGGACTTGCTTTAGACCCGGGCTGACTTGTTGTTTTAACTCCTGGAAATCATCGTCCTGAAGGGAGCGGTGGCAGGTCATCCATGATTCATTACAGGTGCAGTGGGCACTAAGTGACCAGCTGGCACTTTGCTTATGACTTCTGTTACCTAGCATTCGAGTTACGGTTTAAAAGCCCAACTCGGAGGGATGGAAACTGTTGGAAATGGGCACGTCTCTGCCAGGATGGAGACCTACCTGACCTGACCGGACGCGGCATGTTTTACATCGCAGTCCTCGGCTGGCTGACTCACGAGAGAGATGTGTTGCTCTTGACTGTGTGTGTGTGGTGCTAGTGACTGGCATCCCCAGCTGCGGACCAGGACTGTGAAACCCCTGGGCAAAAAGTCAGCCTGTGCCCGAGCCCTTACAATAAGCAAGAGACCAGAGGACAATACGGACAAATAGTCAGGAAACGCCAGGCAGCAATGTGGTAGTGCTAGTCAGCACGAGACAGAGCGGTCCTTGCACACCAGCCATCTGAGTGATGCTCTTTCTTCAGCTCCTAATGAACCGTATGACTACTACATGCCCATATGCAGCCAGTAAATTAATAGGTAGGCATCGAGCGGCTGAGGACTGAACGCAGCAGAGGCTGCCGTTTCATTTCATTTCGGCCCCAGAAGTCACCTCTGCAGAACAGGGATACGGACCCCCCTGCCAGGGACGTTAGCAACCCTGGCAGGCAAAAAAGGCGAGATCGAGACTGCACCGTGTAAGAGCCCTGATTGCACTTTGCGGGTTGAGCTGGCTTGTGCAAATCAGCTGAGGCTGGGGAGCCAGCAGGGCAGCCCACTTGCATTGCCACGCGTCACGGGCTCTTCAGCTGAAGTAATCACAGGGAAGGAACAACTCGAGCGCGCCTCACGTCTTCGAGGCACTTGGTCTGATGAATCTAAGAAACAGGAACGTGTTAATCAGCAGCCTTCCTTCCCCCCCGTGCTTCCCCCCTTTCAGAAAACGCCCTCGGGCCACCACCTGTTTGGTCTTCCCGGAGAGCGGGGATCTCTCCGCTGGAATATGGACCAGCCTGTTCGTGCCCCAAATAACACGGGAGTTGTCGAACGCTTTCAAGACGACTGGGAGGCAGCTGCTAAGAGTACTCGGGGTATGGTCGCGGCTTGGGGCAGAATAGCATCCTGCGGCCTGTCTCCCGAATGCTGCTCACACTGCATTAGCAAATAGTAAGATTACAGTGCAAGGTCTCCAAAAAAAAAAAAAA